TAAAACCAGTGGAGCCCACTGTTCTAACCAATATGAAAAATTGACACATTATCACTTAAATCCAAGATAAAACCAGTGGAGCCCACTGTTCTAACCAATATGAAAAATTGACACATTATCACTTAAATCCAAGATAAAACCAGTGGAGCCCACTGTTCTAACCAATATGAAAAATTGACACATTATCACTTAAATCCAAGATAAAACCAGTGGAGCCCACTGTTCTAACCAATATGAAAAATTGACACATTATCACTTAAATCCAAGATAAAACCAGTGGAGCCCACTGTTCTAACCAATATGAAAAATTGACACATTATCACTTAAATCCAAGATAAAACCAGTGGAGCCCACTGTTCTAACCAATATGAAAAATTGACACATTATCACTTAAATCCAAGATAAAACCAGTGGAGCCCACTGTTCTAACCAATATGAAAATGAATATGGAACACTACGGCCATGTTTGTTTGGGTGGACATGAGCTTGGGATTGGACTAATAGTCCAATAAAATTATTAATCCGATGTTTGGTTAAACAATTCAAGTACGGATTAATTATTTTACACTTACTATTAGTTAAGATAGGATACATAATCCAACGGATTGGTTGTCCTAGGATTATTAGTCATGGGAATGCTAATCCAGTCCGCCCAAACAAACATGGCCTACATGATCTTGCCCCAAGCCTCAAGACCCTACCACCTCCATCATAGTGGCATTCCCATCTTGTGATTCACATACAATCTATGATTCACATGGGAAAGTTTGCAACTGTAGGTATAAAAAGAACCCTACAACTGGATTTGTTTCTTCCCCATAAAAACAGCAAAAGCCATGGAGTCCAAAGCTCATCACAAGCATAACTGCTGAAAGCCACACACAAACACACAAGAAAAAGGGCAAAACACAAGCATAAATGTCGCAATATCCAAAACACCACTCAAAATAGTGACAAATTGCATGCAAAAACAAAAGCATTCCCTACAAGAGAAACTCACTTAGAACCATTCTAAAATTCAGACACAAAACTGTCCTCAAAATCAACCAGAAACTCCAAATTTGATGTCCTAACAATTAGGAAACAAGCCGATCATTTAAAGACAACTATGCCAATTGATCAGCGGGATTGCTAGCCTGTTGCTGCTGAACATTCTTCAGAACTTCCATAGCCTCCGCAACCTTGGCTTTCAGAGCTTCAGGCCATTTTGTAAAAAATTAAACCTTACACTTACACCTTTTTTGAGGTTGCACACCATGTGCAACCCACTTACACCTTACACCTTACACTTACACCTTACACTTATACTTACACCTTATACTTATACTTTTTGTGTAAGTGGCACATGGTGTGCACTTGCACACTTAAAGAAAACTCAACTTAAAGGACAAAGTGAAATTTGTAAAACAAAACTCGTCCTATAAAAGCGACATCTCTTTCTTCCAAAAAAAAAAAAAAAAACCCGAAATCCAAAACCAAAAAAAAAAAAAAAAATTAGGAAAATAGGCGAAATCGAAACCTAACAGAAAAAATAAAAATAAAAAATAACAAAAATATGCCAAATCCAAAAAAAATATATATATATTTTAAGCAAAAAGCCAAAATTGTAAAAAAAAAATACCGAAAAAAAAGCATACCAAAAAATTTTGTTTTTCACCAAAAAGCCAAAATTGAAAAAAAAAAAGAAAAAAAGAAAAAAAACGGAAATAATGCCAAATCCCAACCCAAATTAAAAAATAAAAAAAATGGAAAAGGGCAATTTGGTCTTTTAACAAGATGACACCTCACCAAAAAGTTAAAAAGTCAAAAAAATTAAAAAGTTCTTTCCAAACCAGGCCTTTTAACCCCAGGCTAAAATAACCAAAAAATTAAAAAGCCAACCCACTTCCCAAACGGAGGCTACGAAATATACTTTAAAGGACCTCAACGTGACATATTTCAACCTTTATCAATGGTGACCAATGGTGATGGTAAGGAATAAGAGAGAGTGAAAACTTATTTTGAAAAGAAAGAAAAACATTTTCTTTTATTTATGAAGATTTTAAACTTTTTGCAATCAATTTCCTTTTTTTCTTTGAAACAAAAATGAAATACTAAACAAGTTTTCATTTTTAGTTTGCAGAAAAAAATGAAAACGAAAATGAAAACAAGATATACGAATACTTTAACAATTGATAACAATACAATATACTCAGAATTTTAAATAAACGTTTACGTAAGCTATGAACCTCACAAAGGAGTGGTTAAATTCTAGCCAAATTTTTTTATTCTGAGTAAGATTCTTGACCAAATTTATGAGCTCTAAGGTTTAGTGTTACAAAATAACAATATTACCTACTTAAAAAAATTAATATCAAAAAGTTATATTTATGTATCACATTTTTGACCCACATTCTAATAATTTTAAATTTATTCAATAGATCTCATTTTGTAAATAAATTTTGAAACAAAAATTTATGACACAACATTTTTCATTAGAAAAACGAGTAGTGTTATATATATATATATAATTTTGACAAACTAATGTAACATGCTATTGATGCCATGAGTAGATTTTAGTAGAGCACAGAATCAAAATTATCATGCACAAGCTTGAGGGTGACTTCAAATGAGTCAAGTGCGTGACGAAATTTGACTATGATTAGGGATGACTCAATACTGTTGAGGCCTTCGAAAAAAATCTGAAAGGGACCTTTTACATATTTATTTATTAATTTAAACAATTTTTATTCATCTTTATATTATATATATTTGGGTAAACTTCATTCTACCTTAATTAACTTAGACTTATTTTGGGCAAACTTCATTCTACCTTAACTAACCAGACTTATCTCAATTGGCCATCATGAGTCCCCCCCCCCCTTCCCCCCTTTCTTTTTGGATGAATTGTGGTTTGCGGACTAAACTGTATCATTAGATCCATTAATGATTTAATAAAAAAGACTAAAATAATCTTGCATTTTTATCATTTGTTTGAAAAAAAAAATACATTTAAACTCTTCATACTTCATTCCATGTGTGATTCACCCCTTCTTGAAATTTGAAAATAAGTATATAGCTTCCTTGTTTATGCCACGTGTTCTACATTTATTGTTAAGTTAGACGAAATATTAACAATGCACTTTAATTCGCAAACTACAAGCATATGGACTTAAAGTGAAATTTGCCGTCTATATTTTTAAATCCAACATTCGTTTTCTTGCATATATAATTATCACAGATTGTTTTTTAAACCTTTAAATAATTATTTTTTTAAATAAAATTTTTGTTAAACTTATAGACATATTTTGACAAATATAAAAGAGGATGAAAACTCGAGATTTTTGAAAAATTAGAAGTTTTAGGAGAATTTCTAACTCAATCAATGAGTTTGTAGCGCAACGGTTATCACGTCTCTCACTTACAAGAGTTGGATGGTTTGACTCTTGTGATAGGAGTTGGGTGTAGCATTGATAAAATACTTAGAGGGTCGTTTTGAAAAATTAGTAAAAAATTAATTTTTTTTAATTTTTTTATTTTGTCTTTTTTTATGGGTAAGTCAGTGAAAGGTAATGTAACTCAAAATGAATAAAAAGTTAGAAGTTGACTTTTTATCAACTTTCCAAAAGACTCCTTAGTTGTTTATATATATACAACTAACCACTCATTATAATTGTCACTTAGCGATTATAATTGTCACTTAGTGATTTTGTTTCATCCAAGTCCTTTAATTTTGTGTTTGGCTAATAGACCTACATAAAGATTTTTAATTTTTTTTTTTTAAATCTATCCAAATTTATAAACCAAACATAGTTCAAGAGTAACTTATCCAAATTTATAAACCAAATATAGTTCAAAAGTAACTTAGACACAGGCACTATACTTGAATTGTCAAAAGAATAAAAGAAAAAAATGTCTAATAAAAAATGGACTAGCTTTGTAATTTTTGAAAAAATAATATTAGAGATATTAAATTTTTTATTAAATAAATTACCAAAAGTCTCACATAGATACAAGGTTCATAAAAATATAGGGCTTGTTTGGTTTGTATTTGAGAAACATATTTTGAGATAAAAAGTACGAAATTTTGTTTGATTTGGTTTTTCTTCAAAAGATGCTTTGAAAAATTATTTTGAGAGAGAATTTTGAAAAAAGTGATTGATTTGATGTGTATCAGAGAGAGATTTTTTTAAAAAACTTGGAAACCAAACAAGTTTTGGAAAAAAAATTTGAAAAAATTTTTTGAAAACTTATTTATAAAAAAAATTTTCTAAAATTTTTTGAGAAACACAAACCAAACAAAACCATAAAATCTACAGTTATACGAGATATTTAATTATTTATTTGATAAAAAATTTAGAACATATAATATGCTCTTTTTTGAAAAGCTTTATTACAGTTCAATTCACCACTCGATTGATTAATAGCTTGGAAATAATTTGAACATACGCAAAATTTTACAAGATTTATTGTAGAATTTACATTTCTCAAAAATCTGATCCAAATTATTTATTTTTCGTGTTTCATTTATATTTTCTTAAACTCCACAGAGTCATCATCATTTCTGTTCAAGTCACCCGCCGTTTGTGGGCGATTTTTCAAATCCCTTGAACTGAGCTACCTCATCATGGCCTTTAATATATTGGTATATTTCAATACTAATATTTAAAATCATGATACATTATATATATATATATATAAAAAGATACTGCATCAACAATCTCGATCATAGCAATGTTGTGTTGCATAAGAATTAAACACTAGTGGGGGGAGAGAGAGAGAGAGAGAGTCAAAACAAATAAAGATTTACTAGGATACTGCAACTTCTGTACTTTACAAGACTCAAAAGTGCCATAATAACTAACATCCATCCAAACTACAACCACAAAATGACTCCCATCTCCCTTCCATACCCATGCATTGTTCATGCATCCTCATCCACCACCACCACCACCACCACCACCACCACATATACACCTCATGGCTTCAACTTCAAACACCACAAAAGTACTATCCTGCTAATATCATTCATATATATAGAAGAAAAAAGAAAAGAAAAGAAAAGAAAAGAAAAGAAAACATACATATTTATAGCCCTAACATGAGTAATCATCACCTTCATCTAGCTACAACTAGATAAAAGACCCATAATAGATGCACTATTATTATTATTACCACCAAGCTTCAACTCTAGCTCTACTTCAACCTTCCTTTTTTTCTGCTCCTCATTAATCATACTAATATTAGGACTAGTACTTGAGCTGAACAGTTGAGCTACAGATGTCACCACTGCACACTTCCTGCTATTCTGCGCCGCCCCAGTCTTACTTCGCACCCCAATCTTCTTCTTCCTCTTCTTCTTCGTTTTCTCCGACGAAGACCCCTCCGACGACGTTGTTTCCGGCGACGGTACAGGCCGCGGCAATACCGGCGGAATCGCAAAATTCGTTCTGGCTTTCGCACCTCTCAGACGCCTCGCCGCCGCGTCGTAAGCACGCGCCGCCTCCTCCGCCGTGTCGAACGTTCCCAGCCAGTGCCTGCACCGCCCTATACGGTCCCTTATCTCCGCTGACCACCTCCCCCACGGCCTCTTCCTCACCCCTCTGTAACTCTTCTGCACCGAAACCCCACTCTTCTTCTCTCCTCCTCCGGTACTTTGTTCCATGCCCGAAACACCACCCGATTTCTCAACCCCACTCCCACCATTCCCAAATAGGATTCGTTGCCCAACAATAGCCGCGATTCCTTCAAGTACCGGGGGGATTTCGGGTTCAGTACCGGCCGCAACAGAACCATGGGTTTGTGGGTTTGCAGGAATTTGATGAATGGAAGAACTAGAAAGAGGGTCTCCATAGTAGAGCCGAGGCAATTCGTTTACTATAGGGAATGTTTCGGGGGGATTGAAACGAAACAGGTCAGGGCGAGGCAAGAACGGAACACTATGTATCATTTGGGGGTTCATTGTTATTGTTGGTGGGTCTGTTGTGTTGTGTTGTGTTGTGTTGGGTGTAAAATGGAGTAAGAAGATGAGAGACACATTTTATGGAGTGGCAAAATTTATAGAACCCAGAAAAATTAATAATTTAATTAGTTTTCTTAAATTTTAGAATAGTGATACAACCTTTTAAAATAGTAATTCTGATAAGAATTCTAGTGAGGTGAAAGAGAGAGCACAAAGAGATAAAAAGAGGAGTGTGAACTCTTAAATCATATAGATGCTCTCTACGTCATTAGAAATCTATAAGAGCTCTTAAATTACACCAAGGATCCTCTAGAGTGAAATTTTTCTAAAGTTTCCTAGAGTGTTATATTGTGTGGTTGAGATTTACTGGCAAGTCATATCAGAAAAATTGATGTGATTTGTCAGTAAATCTCAACCACGCAATGTAGCACTCTAGGAAACTTTAAGAAAAAATCACTCTAGAGGATCCTTGCTCCTTAAATTAAAACTCTTAAACATTATTATAAATTTTAGGATAAATTATAAATACACTCTTAAAGTTTAATTAAAATACGAATTACCTTCTGTTGTTTTAAAAATTACATCTCATCTTTTGATATTTCTAATTTTATATAAATCGCTCATTTTATTTATAAATTATCAAGTCAATTAATAATTTTTAATGATATTTAAAATATATTTTAATTAATAATTTAATTAATTTTATTATTATATAGGAGAGTAATTATAAATTTTATTTTTTTAATTAATTCTATTAAATAAAAAATTTTAACAAAAAGATATTTATAATTTTTTAAATTATATTAAATAATTTATATTTTAAATAAATCTTAAAAGCCTAAATTTTAATGGATTAATGGTAGTGAAGTTAATTTTTAATTGTTTATTTAAAAATAAGGAAGTGGTAGATTTTATTGACTATTTAAGATATTCCTGTCAAAATTGATGGGACCGCAATCCCTCAAATTTACATGCCCCCCCGGCTTGCAGTTTGCAGGGAGGAGGGATATACTCGTGTGAAATGTCCAAAATAACCCTATATGTGTATATTTGTAGCTAGGGCTGCAAATGAGTCGAGTCGAACCGAGCCGAGCCGAGTTAAGGCTCTGTTTGGGAACAGGCTAATTTGGTAACTTTTTGACTATTATGAGTTAAAAAAAAAAACTAGTATGTTTGGGATAACTTTTTGACTTTTTACGAAAAGATGTGCAAAATTAGAGAGAAAATATAATCTTTGACTTTTTGGTATGGGTTGTTGGCTTTTTGGCTAATTTAGTAATTTTTTGACTTTTTGGCTAAAAATGAGAGTTCCCAAACGAGGCCTTAGTATGTTTGGGATTGTTTATTAAGATTTTAACGAGTTCGAGCTCGAGCTCGAGCTCGAGCTGAATAAAAATTTAACGAACCGAGCTCGAGCCGAGTTAGCTTAGGCTCGACTCAAGCTCGAGCCTGTTCACGAGCCTTAACGAGCCAAAAAAATTATAAATTCATACTTGCATGTGACACTAAAATTACAATTAAAACTTGGGCAAATTACAAACACCCCCTCGAAGTTTTGTGAAAATACAGATTTCTCCCTGAGGTTTGAGAAATTGCATCCCGCCCCTGAGGTTTATATTTTCATAACAAATTACCCCCTGAAGTTTTTATTTTCATACAGATTCCCCCCCTAATTTCTCCTAATTTGTTATGAAAAATTGATCCTCAGAAGGCAATTTGTAATTTCTCAAACCTCAGGGAGAAATCTGTATTTTTACCAAATCTCGAGGGGAGTGTTTGTAATTTGCCCTTAAAATTTTGATTATACAATTATATATACAATATATATAAACATACTTAAAAAAAATTCATATTTTACTAAAATAATAATATCTACTACCACTATTATATAAATGTACTATCTATAGTTAACTATTATTTACATTTATATTTATATTTTTTAAATATATAAATAGTATATTTTTCTTATTTTTATACATATTTATATATTATTTAATATATAAATAATAAATATTAAACGAGCCGAGCTTTAGAATGTTTGGGGTTGTTTATTAAAAATTTAACGAGCTCGAGCTTGAACGCAAAAAAAAATTAATGAACCGAGTTCGAACGAACTTTTTCCGAGCCGAGTTCGAACCTGTTCACGAACGGCTCTGTTCATTTGCAGCCCTATTTGTAGCATTATATTTGTGAATATTATGCCCTGTTTGGCAAGTCAACATTTTAACTAAATAGTCAAAAAATTATTTAAAAAGTTAAAAAGTTTATAACCTATATCAAAAAGTCAAAAAAAAAAATTTCTCTCTATTTTTTACATATCTTTTTATAAAAAGTTAAAAAATTATTCCAAACATATTAATTTTTTTTAGTTCATATTTTAACTAAAAAATTAAAAAATAATTAAAATAGTCTCTTTTCGCGTTAGTATTGAGTTAAGAAAAATGATGCAAACCACTAATTAGTGGTTGCACTAGGGATGTGGCAGTGAGTCCACATATATTTTGTGTCTTAGTTTTTGTTTTTTTATTTTTTATTTACTTGTCACATCATTAGTGGTGGTGTTAGTGGTAAAAATTTAATGGTACTTAGCATTGTTGTTGAGTTAATGACGATAAACCAATTGAGATTAGGTTGTCTGTCGAAAAAATGTTTGGGGGCCCTAATTCTGTGGCTCAAATGTGGCTTAAATGGCCAAAACGACGTCGTTTTGGTCATTTTGATGTTGTTTTGTACTCAAAACGACGTCATTTTGACCATTTGAACCACATTTGAGCCATAGAATTTGGACCCTCTACCATTGCTCGTTGTCTGTCACTCGCAATGGCTGTGAGTTAGAATGGAATGATTAAAAAGTTGGGTTAATTACACCGAGATGTTTTTAACGGGTTTGGGGGTTGATGATGCGACATACGCACTAGTAATTGTGGTGTGTCTTATTGGATTTATTTTATGATCTAATTTAATAATTTGAATGGTTTTATTTTAAAAGATATTAAGTAAGATATATTTTACAAAATTATATTGATCTAATATTGTTAGTCTTTTCATCATATCACATTTATATTTAAAATAATAAATAATAAATATAATTTGAAATATAAAATTAAGTACAAATGTAATTTGATGAAAGGGTTATTGATATTTTATTAACATGTTTTTTTATAAGTATGTTCTACTTAATATTTTCTAAATGTGACGGTTCAAATTATCGAATTAGACTCTGAAATGAATCCAACAACGTGTGCAACAGTTGTTGCTGCACGCCATGCGCAGCAGTAACCCAATTCCATTTTTAATTGTTAACGAATATTATTTTATTTTTCTCATTTATCAACTTGCAGGTATTAGCCCTTATTACTTTAAAATCTTACAAATACACTGGCTTTGCTTGGTTTATATTTTCAGAAATGATTTTTAAATTGATTTTCGTTTGTCCTTATTGAAGTTTTTTCATATTTTCGTCATTTTTTTTTAACTTTTTAGATCTATCTTGATTAGATGCATCTAAAAACTATAAAATTAAAAAAAATGATGAAAATATAAAATAATTATTAAAAATAAACGAAAACTCATTGGAAAATAATTTTTGAAAAATCAAATCAAACAAACACACAATTTTTGAAGGAGTAAAAGTGATACATTTTCATAGTTGAATGAAAAAAATGCACAAGTTCATAGCGGAGGGGATAAAGTGATACACACTAACAATTGAGGGGTGCTGATGTAATCAAATAAAAGAGGGTAAAATACAGTCAGAAAATTCTACTTACACTACCAAATAAACTCATTGCACCCCAAATTTTCAATCTTTTCTTATTACACTTTTATCTCTTTTCAAATTTATCAAAAGAACCCTCAAGCACTAACCAAAAATTTTCATCACCTACTTTTTTCACCAGAATCTCTCTAGCTACCACCACTGCAATGCCGCCGGCAACCCCCCTTCTTATTCCCGTCAAGCTCCTCCACTTCCGGTACTAAAACCTATTGATGATTTCTCTCCCCAACATCTTTCTCCAACGGTGAACCCACCACGTCATTCGTACCCATCACCCATAACACCCAGATCCGGCACCTCTGAAATCCTAGTTTTTCTCTCTCTCTCTCTCCCTCTCTCGCGATGGCTTTGCTACAGCGTAGAGTTCGCGCAACATTAGTTTGGTCACGTTGGAGAGTTTGTGCAGCGGTGGCTAGTTCATAGTGGAGGAGACGAGAGGATTGTGTCACAGTCAATAGGCTGGGGATGTCTCGTGATGGAGGAGATCAATGATGGAAAGGGGGCTGGGGAGGAAATTACTATCGTTTATACTAGTTTCAATTTTTTTTTAACTTTATTAAAAGAAAATCAATATAATTATGTAAAAAGCGTGGGACTATCTATTTTTTTTTTAAACCTCAAAGAAGTGGGTGTAATTTACCTATATATATAAAAGAAAAGAAAACATATCATATGTCTCACTTATGATTTTTTAAAATTATTGATTATGTTATTTACTGTAGTGTTGATTTATTATGACTTGCGTAGCACTTGTGTTCTTTGAACTATTGGAGAGTGTATTTAGTTCCTTTATTTTCATTTTGGGGGTCTTTGGAGTTGTTGTATTTCGGTTTTTGAAGGAGTATGATTCGATTTAGACTTGTTGGGAGTGCTTGTTCACGCTTGTTTATGTTGAAAAGTTCTTTGGGAACTTGAAAATTTTGTTATGGGATTAACACACCACCTTGTTGCCTTGTTCTTAATGTCTTTGTTGGTTTATAGGGTCGACAGCACGGTTTTGAAGGTTGACCCTTCCTTTGCTGTTTTGTTCTAGGTTACATTTTGAAATTTAGGGTCGACACCACTACTTCCAAGGTAGGAGTGTAAAAATAGCCTGTGGACCGTAGCCTAAGGTGGGCCCTTCCCTTTAGGCCTGGGCCCAAGCCCAACCTAAGGCCTTGAGCTTGGGCCATCATTTTGAAGCCCAACCCAGCCCATCGGCCCGCTCAAGGCTCACTCAAAAGTCCAACTCAAGGCCCGATCCGCCCAAGG